ACCCAACCTGAAAAAACACAAGTATAATTAGCTAAAAAAAACATGGCCAGGTGGTTAAGGCACTCGACTCGCAATCTGAGGGTCACGGGTTCGAATCCCCGTCACACCAAACATGCTCGCCCTTTCAGCCTTGGGTGCGTTATAAGAGTGAAGGTTAAATCATATTATTTGGCCTGACAAAAGTATTCCATGAATAGCGGTTATTGATGTTGACTAGCTGCTTTCTCTCTAGTCTTACACTGCTAAATTAGGGACGGCTAGCGCAGATAGCCCTCGTGTAGCTTTGCACGAAATTCAAAAACAAACAAACAAACATTGATTACACTAAAATTCAGTATGATGAACATTCACACAATAAACTCAGGAGTTCTGAGATCTAAATTATGTAATGGTTCTGGAGTTGTAAGAAATTTCAATTGATGGGAAAGTAGTTTGAGTTATTTAAGTGGTTAACGCATTAATAATGTTGTATAGTTCACAGTGTAGGATTTTCTGAAACTGAAACGATAAAAATATCAACTTTGTAAACATTGTACTAAGGTAACAAAAGCAAAATCCTATACCAATTTACGTTGCGTGTTTGGGAATTTGTTTGTCAGCGAACCCCTCCCATAATTTTGGAGCTATCAGGACCAAACTTAGCAGGTGGACTCGGATGACGCAGAGAATGTCATTAACCTATATGACGTAATTCCTCTACCAAGTAGGCATCAAGAGAACTAACATGCGCTCTAATGGTTACTCCGGCATGATGTGGATCTAGGAGTAAGGTGTTCAGAATCAATGAACCTGAATCTGACATTGGATTTTGCGTTATTCCGAATCCATAGGGCGCCGTGTCTTAAACTGTGTTCATAACTATTGAGAATAAAGTTGGAACATGTGCTTAAGTACCATAGGTGGGCGTTCTAACGGGTTTGTCTTTGGGTACTTTACTATGGATAATAGAGGAGCTTGAATGGAACATTGAGACTTCTGTGGATTATGAGGAAACCTTTACATTTTACGAGAAATCAACTGAAAGAACTAATACCTTTAGTTTTTAGAGAAAACTTTTCCTAAGAAGCTCTTTGACTTTTCTGATTAACTGAAAAGTATATAGAAATGGTAACTATTGCTGGAACACACCATGAATACCTATTTTATTGATTCTACAGTTCCTTAAATATGGACAGAAAAAATGAGTCATGAAATATTTTCTGTATCATCAAATTACTAGATAATAAACATTTATGAAGAAGGACTTAGGTTATACTGTGTGCGAACTTCTTCCCCAATCGATTTCTTAATATACTGCCGAATTCACCTCAATATTTTTCACCCTTCGTTACCTAAATTACATAATCCTGAAACACGTGAATGTCATCAACACGAAATACTTTAAATGTCATTTGGAACTAACAATTTACATAACTCCATCCTTAACTAATTGTTTAATATCATCCAAAACTTATGCATTGTTGTCTGGAACTACAATAATGATGTCGTCCAGAATTATCTAAACAATATCATTGTAAACTCTCTCAAGACCGTCTTTTGGAATTACATGATCAATGAATATTTCAGTAACTAATACAAATAATCCCTATACTTATTTTGCATTTTAATTTCAATGTTATCCAGTTTTAGTTTGGCTATTTAATCTTTGCTTACTGAAATAATTTTGATACCTACATTTACGACTGATTTTCTACTTCGACTTCAAGAATATATTGGTTTTTAAATGAAGGACAAACATTTTCTACTGCACAGGATTTTCTTTTTAGTACTAACGCACAACTGTATATTACAGCATAATCGCCCATAAGCTTCTCGAACTGGGGACTTTGAGAGAACTGCAAACCAACACGCGTGTAAAGCACGTGGTTTTGCAACATTCAAATTACGCTGAAAACTACAAGCTTCCCAGTCACAAGCAAAGAGGGAAGAATATTTGTAGATAAATAACATTCTATTTATGTAGTAGGAAAGAACTAAAACGTAAACCATGTATATGATAAATATTTCAAACGTATTTTGCAAATCTGGAGCATTATTGTTGGAGAAGTTGAGGGTCAAGTAGGACTGATTAGATTTTAGTGAGATTAAATCAAAGTTTCATTAAATAACAATGACTTTATTATAAAACTGAAAGTTAATGTGTAATTCCAATGTAGTTTCTAATTAGGGCTAACGAGATAGTCTGCAATATTGAAGGACCGTTACGTATACACTCTGAACATTAGGCTAAATCAATATGGCAAGGTACGTTTCCATTATCTTGATTAAATTTAATTGTCTGGTATTCTTAGGCAGTCTATAAGCATTTATATCTTAAAAACTACTTGTCTTAAGGAAATAAATCTCACCAGAGGCGCATTGAGAAATTTGAGTATTATTTAAGAAAGTTTGGATATGGTACAGATTTTTAAGTTTAGTTTTTAAGATATAATAATTTTAAGTATGGATATTTCTCTATAATCACTCTGTCTTCGGAGGTGAACGATAAAATATGTCTTATGGATTTATTTGTTTGTTTGTAATTAAGCACAAAGCTACACAATGGGCTATCTGTGCTCTGCCCACCACGGGTAACGAAACTCGGACTCTAATGTTGTAAGTCCGCAGACATACCGCTGCGTCATTGGGGGGGGGGGGAGCGTGTCTTATGGGATGTGTTCTAATGAATTTTAGCTGATTGAAAACTACATAAATGTTCTCGTAAAAATAATCTATTAGAACATCGTGAAAGGAAAAACTGAACTTTTTCCAAGCGATATATGTTGGTACGTGACTTTTAACCTAAGTTATTTACTAAATGAAGCCGTTTAAGGGTTTTGCACAATTTTTAACTTTTCCACAAAACGAAAAAAAAAAGGAAAGAAACAAGTACTAGAGGTTTGAAATAAAAAAAAACCCATAAAGCTGCGCATTAAGAGACAAGTGAATAATTGATTTTTAAAAATGTAATAAATTTTGTAATTACCGTTGAAAAAAAAACCCAGAAAAGTTTGTTTGTTACTTCACGTAGATAATAGCCTAATTATAAACGAAAATAATGAAAGGCCTTTGTCTTTCTCATACTAAGTTTCTGGACCATGCTTAACGTTCAGCAGTTCGTGAACTCCCAGAAGGTAGTGTTAGCTAGATAAAGAAAAACAAAAACAACGTACAGAATATATAACACAAGAAATTGTGTATCAAGTGGAACGTGCCTTACTCATAGCAAAATACTCGTTGTTGCTGAAAGTATTGGAAAAGAAACATTTATTCACTATTTTTGCTCAAAATACTCGTTGTTGCTGAAAGTATTGGAAAAGAAACATTTATTCACTATTTTTGCTCAAAATACTCGTTGTTGCTGAAAGTATTGGAAAAGAAACATTTATTCACTATTTTTGCTCAAAATACTCGTTGTTGCTGAAAGTATTGGAAAAGAAACATTTATTCACTATTTTTGCTCAAACAAGCGTTTCTAAAAAATCTAATATGTACGAACGTGTGTGTATGTGTATGATATTATATATGTATATACACACCCACACACACATATATATACATATACGGCAATCTTGACAAACGTACGGGTAGTGTTGAGAGATTGTTTGTATACTGAACAAGTCCTACTGCAAATACGTTCACCTTTTAAAAGAGATTATTTTAAATCGTATCAAATAAAGTATTTAGTTACTAAAGAAGTAAGTTTTTTTAGTATTTTATGATTATCCACGTATTGAAAGGTATTTGATTTTGCTGCTGAAACTTTTAAACTATCACATTAAAATCGTTATTTCTTTGAGGGGGTGAGGTTAAAAAAATATGCTTAATTATTATTGTTTTATTTCTCTGACAATTTGGTAACAATGCAAAAGAAAACTTTTCTAAGATTTTTATTTAAAAGATCTTTTTTTCTGTCCTTATCAGAACATATTTGCGAGTCTAAAAGAAAAATCAATATTCTTAACTACTATCTTTTTCAAGCTAAAAATGTTGTTCATTTGCCGATTTTAAGTGCAACAGCGATAAAAAACAAATAAGAAAGTCGATACTGAGAACGTAATGATCACTGATTGTAACTAGTCTAACATTCATGTGCCATAAGTTGAGGATATTGTGGCTAATGAAGCCAACAACTATATACTAGGAGCAAAGTTTGTTGACCCATTTTGTTTTCTGTAGTTAGAGTTCTCTTACGGCTTCGTCTTCCTCTCGTGAAGAATGTTTATTATATCGAATGTCACTTAAAGGCTGAGAGTTTTACTTAGGGTTTCTAGGGTAATTGAGGACTTATGTCCTCAATGATATTTTAGATTCTCTCGAAAAGACTATAAGATAATGACACTAATTGGAAGCTCGACAATGTGGTTTATTGAAAGAAAATATATTAATTAACTTTTACTCAGAGAATAGACGATGTACGCATTTCGTAAAATTTATTTCGCTAGTTTTATTTGTTCAATAGGTTAAGTTTGAAGATCAAAAGATAAAAAAGAGTAAAGCTAGAGTGTTCGTTTTACGCACATAATGTATTTTCAAGAACATAAAGAAATAAAAATACAGGATCATGTATATAGAACATTAAAGGTGTTAAGCACCTTCAACAGTAGCACAAAATTAGATTATTTAAACGAATTATTACGGTTATACCAAATATTTAAAACATAATAAAGATACAACAACAAATTTTTTGTATCATTTATCAATGATTATATACAATTACTGAAATAATCGTTAAATGAAAACCAAAACAATATTTTCTAAGAGACATTACATATATATCCGAGGATTTACACAAAGATTACCTTTATTTGCACTTCATGACTTGGTGGATAAGCTGTCTGATATGACACCTTGATAATGGAACTAAAACTTCTATTGCTTATGCGAAAATGTTGTTTCTACATAATTTTTTAAAAGCAACTTATCTGTTTTTAATCTTCTTAACTTCTTAAAGGATTAGGATAAGAACAATATGTCAGAAATGCACTATTAATATTAGACGTACATTAAATAATTCAAAGGAAGACAATTAGCTATTGTATTTCGTGCATCTTCAATGAGCTCGGCTGTGATAGATTTCTTATTTGATATCCGTGCTACGTTGTGCTAGAAAAGGATTTCAAATGTTCAGAATGCTTACTTTTCCGTCCGTGAGCACACGTATTGACGCTAACGTAATAATCAAATTTCCACACAAAATTAACGCTTATCACATATTATTATTCACAGGTTAATATTCACAAATCACTGTTTGTATTTACATAATTTTACTTTTATCTTTTAAATAAAGCGCCACCTAAGATATGTTTATGCAATTGTTTCCAACGTGCAATGTATGTGAACTCTGGATTTAACAATAGTCAAAGTATTTACGATTATAAAATATTTCGAAATCCATAAAATGAATTAAACAGTTTCGACTTTCTGACAGTTTACTTTTACCTCAAACATTCAATATATTTTTGCGTTTTGTTGCTTTTCTGAATTTCTCTTTCGTTCGTGGAGATAATCTGTTTAGATCTGTATTTGAAAAGCTTCACAATATGCTAAAAAAGGACATTGAGAAAAAACACAATAAAACAAGATCACTGGAGTTAACTGTCAACTCCTTCACCTCCTCAGAGATCTCCAAGTCACGGCTTAAGATCAGATCGCTGTTTACTTGTCTTACTACACTCAGGCTGAAGACGAAGGGCAACAATTCCTTGAAGTATACTCAGTCTGGACTTGAATGATTCACGTGAAACACAAAAGCCCTGTTTCGGTTGAATTTACGATGTAGTTGAAATTTATTTGTCAATGAAATAATTTTTATACAAGCTCGGGAGCGATGTGGGGGGTATATCATATATTGAGATACTTAGAAGAAATTTTGAAATGTAGAATTATATCTTTGGTTAATTATCTAAATTTGCATAAGATTACAGATAAGTAAAGAATTTTGTAACACATGCAACGTCGAAGGTTTTCAGATTCTTAGACACCCTCGTGAATCACTTTATAAAAATGGGCATATGATCAAGGGAGTATTGATACACCAAAGTATAAATTGAACGGTCTCATACGGTTACGAATTCACTCCAAACAAGAACTGTATGTGTTATACACGACAGGTTATTGCTCGTTACTATCCGATGTGTAAAACGTCTTGTTTAAATGGTCTTGAATAAATTAGTAATACGCTTGACTAATAAAAAATGTTCGACTTCGTTTACCTGAGGTGATGTACCATTTAACTGCTTTATTTCATTAATACTTAACACCATCTTGTTGAAACAATGAACAACATTGGAAGTGGCAAGAAGACTGTCACACTCACAACGATCTTAATTTTTGTTGTTTGATGAAAAGGGCCGCATGAAACAGTGCTGTAAAGAAAACGAAGTCCACAAAAATAACATTTCATTTCACAATGAGAATTGTAAGTTTTGGCGTATACACTGAAACAAGGCGAAGCTTGTGTTGAATCTGAAACGAATCAGGCAAGAGAGTCAATTCCTCTTTTTTTTCCAGAAATAATGTCTTAACCATCTTGCCAGACGCCATAACTGATACGTTTGTTTTTTGGGCTGTAGAAAAAAAATTAAACCACCTAATTTTAATTTTGGTAAATGTACGATACAAATGATAAAATTCTATCAGTTTAAAAAAAAACCACATAATGTTGCAAATATATTTTCATCATATTTCTACATATTTTTCATATAATCAACTGCCTGGTTATCCACTACAACAGACTTTTGACTTTTTTCGTGACAAAGCCATTTTTTAAAACGTTTAAAATATAAAAATCCAGCAATAAAATTTGTGAAATTGTGTTCAGAAAATATATTTTCTATACCCAGTGCCTAATAAGTACTTTCTGTGGATCTAGGATTTTCCCTCGGAATTCCATGAATTTATTTTAAAGTGCCAATTAGGGAAGTGTATTAAGTTTTGATGCAGAATGATATAATTCTAACTGATAGTTATTGTACAAATGAATTTATTTTAAAGTGCCAATTAGGGAAGTGTATTAAGTTTTGATGCAGAATGATATAATTCTAACTGATAGTTATTGTACAAATGAATTTATTTTAAAGTGCCAATTAGGGAAGTGTATTAAGTTTTGATGCAGAATGATATAATTCTAACTGATAGTTATTGTACAAATTCACTGTGTTTTTAGTGAAATGTTAATTTCTCAATAACTCGATGAATAGTTTGCTTGACAATTTAGAAAAACTTATATCAAGTATCAGTTTACTACTTTAGGGAAAGTAGGGGTCCTTACCTTGAAGTCTGTTTACTTCTTCCTCTCTTTTGTCTCACTGTACAGAAACAACTGGACAGGACGGAGGTCATTATAATAGTTCATAAAGTCTATCTCCGTTTATAAAAATCAACGACATCCATTTTTTTTTTAAATCACAAATGTAAGTTCTCAAGCCATATTACACCAAATTGTTATTATTTACACATATTTCATTGTAGTCCTGGATTTCCAGTGTTTGCTGTGACAGTAAAAGAATGATAAGGAATAATTCGTCACAATTCCAAAGGAAAAAAAAACTTATATTATTTTTTTAGTAAATTTCATTTCATCAGCTCGCCGATTAATTAAAATAAAAAAATAAGTAATATTTATAACATTTATTAATTTATTACACATTAAAATATTGACTACAACGTTAATCGTATTTTAGTTGTCTTTTTCATTTATTCTATAATTAGTTCTTGCAGTGTTAAGAGCCGTAATAATTTATGTTTTAACATAAGCACGATTTTAGTTTAGTGACACAAAAAAAAGTCTTAAACAATTAAACTACCTTCCACATACATTTTTACTCCAGAAGAGAACAGCCGTTTTTAATGCATATCATTGTGTTATTGAATGGATTATATTATGTTTTTTACTTTACTATATAATTTTTACTTTAATTGTCATTTCTACAATTAGCAGCGTGTTTTTTTTTAAGTGTAAGTGGAAACACACTGTTTGGAGCTGAAATGTGTATAAAATGACACGATGAGCCGCTGTGTAAATTTAATTAAATATAAGTTTAAAATATTACAGCTGATTGGATTCAGTATTTCCTTGCGAGGAATAAATATGGTTTTTCAACCAAATAGTTTATTTTTAATATGTGATATTTGAAGTTATGTTTGTCAAATAAGTACGAGCTTATAAAACATCAGTTAAATAAGTTAATCTCTGTTGGCTGAACAAACAATTTGAATGGGGAAATTACATTAATGTAAAAAGAAGGCTTTAAAAATGTAGCCTTTATCAAGTGAATTTCCAGATTTGATGTAAAAATAGAAAACTTACCCTTGTAGAACATATTCTTGTACATAGTAGGACACTGCTGGTTCTGAAACAGCAAACAGCTCAACTGAGCATGTTAGTACCAACAACGAAGTTAACCTAACCTTTTGTAAGTGCATATAAAACCAGTTGCACATATCCTGTAGCCTTAAGAAAAGTACTAACTATATAAACCTCAGTAGATTTAATATAACTTTTAAGAACCTGCAGAAAATAAGATTTATTTCAGTCTCACTAGTTCGTCTCACTGTCTTCTGTATTAACGTACAATATCACAGTAGAGAATGAGAGAATTTTGTTGGGGTGATACGTGCTTCGAGTGTTGTTTTATGCAGTCTTCTCTTTACGTTATGCATTTAAAAAAATGGTTGGTTTTTATGCAAAACTGATAATTATTGATAAAGAAATGAGCGTCACAACAACGATCAACGACCTTTATCATAATAAAAGTCTCCAAATTTAAGTATGATGGCAGAGCACAACTCTTTCCAACCCTTAAAATAATAAGGGTGGGTTGAGGGTTGAGTCTATTTCTGATATCTATATAGCTGTCTTCATCTTCATGGTAATTCTTAAATTATAAACATCTGAAACAGAAGGAAACAGTGCACAAGTGTAACCAAATCTGAAATGTGATATTGATATCACATGAATTTATATTTATAACAACAATGATTATACAGGCGTGATTTTGTAGTCTAGTGTGGATTTACATTGTTACTAAATATTCTTCTTATTTTCAGGATACAATTAGTCCCAGCATTTGTTTTTGTTTTGAATTTCGCGCAAAGCTACACGAGGACTATCTGCGCTAACCGTCCCTAATTTAGCAGTGAAAGACTAGAGGAAGGCAGCTAGTCATCATCACCCACCACCAACTCTTGGGCTACTCTTTTACCAACAAATAGTGAGATTTACCGTCACATTATAACGCTCCCACGGCTGAAAGGGCGAGCATGTTTGGTGAAACGGGGATTCGACCCCGCGACCCTCAGATTGCGAGTCAAGCGCCCTAACTACCTGGCCATGCCGGGCCATAGTCCCAGCATCAGGACTTTATCAACAAATTCAAATAGTCCTAGTTCTCCTTTAAAATCTTTAATTTACATGTCAGAAAGCAGTTAGAGTTTGTATTTAACTTGAGTGTTTGTTGGTATGTCAAAACGTGGTATTAAGTGTTGGCTTACAGGTCATAATGCAGACAATTTTCGTCTTGAATTTGGGTAACAACGAGGTTAATATTTGTCTTTGAGTGTTGAGTGGAAGATCAAAATATTTTAAGTTCTCATATTTATTGTTGACTGGCAGATCAAAATGTAGTAAGCCACTGTTTTTAGTATTGACCGACAGGTTAACATGTGGTAAGCCATTTTCCTTAATGTTGATTTGACTGGCAGGTTAAAATGTAGAAAGCCATTGTCCGTAGTGTTGATTGGCAAATTAAAATGTAGCCAATTCTCGTCTTTATTGTTGATCAGTGGATCATCGGGTAATAAAGATTGGTTTGAATTTTTGTTAGTAAAAAGCACGAGTCCTGTTTCTCTATCAGAAAAGGAGATAAAGATTTTATTGCATTTAATTCATACGAGTTTTACATGCATGTGATTATTCATCGATTTTCAAATATACTCTCAAAAATTCAAAGTTAACATATATGTTAATCATACACAAAAATATAGAAACATTTTAGTATATGACTCTGTAGGATCTTTTTTTGCAGGTAAATGGAAAATTTCGTTCTCACGTATCTATTCTCTTGTTAGTAAATCTGTTCGAATTTTTGTCCGAGGTCGCTTCCTATTCATAACCTGTTAAGGGACTGAACAGCACAAACTGGAATATTTGATATCGAGTTATACTTTCTGTTTGCAAGTCAGACATAGTACCTAGTTTATTCTTATCATTATTCACAAAAAAGATCAAATATTGTCAAAAGCTAGCTAGCTAACAGACTTACAAGACTAGCCTTCGTTTTACGCATTCAGTAACTCATCAGTGATTCAATAAAACAAGTGCGTGATATGCATGCTGTAGTGCGTTGTTGTAGCTTGTTAGGATAATAGAAATGGACGCCTTTTGTGGTTCAGCGGTGGTGCTAAAATTGGAGGATAGATCCCTGCAATAGGCATAGTATAGATAGTCTATTGATCGGCTTTACTCTATAAACAAAAACAAATACATGGATCAGTTTGTAGTGATGCGAATAGTTAGGCTAGGACTTGTGATACCTACGTACACATTTCCTTGCGAATAATACAAGGGTATTAAGAAGCCCGCAGGTTTTCAAACTACGAACGTCATTTATCATATCATGTGAAAAAAAAAGAATACCATTCTAGAATTGTAGTTGAAAAACCTTTTTGAGTCGCTTATGCTTACGCGATCAGATAATTTCAAAGAGCAAGTTATTCTACAGAACCAAAACAGATATGTTTACTAAATATTAGAATAAATTCAAATTGAAAACCAGAAGTAATCGTACTGTAAATCTTTTTTGAAATTCAATTTAATACTTGCAATTTTTTCATATTGTTTCTTTCGGGATGGGCTAAGTTTTAGTTTAATCAATACTGTAATATTTGCAATAAGATGTGAGAGTCTGGCAGTTTCACAGGCTACGTTGAGACGAATTCCACGTGAGTACCTTTTAATTAACCTGTTGTTCTATGCTTAGTGTGGAAACCTCGAAGATACACATTACTAAATCGAACGTTTCGTCATTGTTGTATATCATTCTCTGTAACAATGTTGATACAGCAAAGGATTCCCGTGAAGAGGATAAAATCTTAATTCAAAATAAACGAAGTAAAACCGAGATGCCTGTCAATCTTCCAGATTAATGGCATCGGCTTTCTTCTATAAATGTAACAAGATCAAGTGAAAATGTGTAAATAAGTGTTGAGTGCGACTGTTGTGGCGTATAGCTAGTGGATTCTGTTTAGAGACCACGTTTGTTGACCTTAGACACTTAAATTCCACTGGGAGATTAATAGGTTGCGAAAGAGAGACGAATGAAAACACTCATAGGAAATGATGAACATGCTACTCTCACAAGAGTCTCCTTTTCTTGACGAAGTAAATAAGTAAAAACAACAACAACAACAACAAAAAACAGATTTGTAAGTAAATTATGTTAAGGCTTAGGAAATGGGCTAAGGTCGTAAAAAGAAGGTTAAAAGATAACTCACTATGCAGTTGTATGAAGAGCAACAAAGCTACTGTAAAGGTGAGAAAAATGAGTTTGAAAAAGACATTATTGAATTAAAAAAAGAGAAGTAAACGCTTAACATCTGTTGAGGCTACACACAAAGCCCTACTCTGTGAGCGTACTAAGCACATAGAATATCTTAATGACTCTATACAAGATGAGGTCATTAAAGATTTTCTATTAACAAATGGACAGTTGGTGGGCTCATCTACTTAACAGATATCACGTGCTAGCATCTCCTGGCAGCGTGATATAGAATTAAACAGAAGGTAGGGAATGGACTATAGATGTTTCATTGATATAAAGTATACTAGATTTGAGATAAATAATAATTAAAAACAACTCAAGGAACTATTTTTCTCTCTGACGTTTTTTATTGCAGCCGGTAGCAGCTAAAAGCATCATAAGAGCATGTTGACTTTTTTGCATTGATTATAAAAAAATAAACAGGGGAAGCTCCACGGTTCTGTAGTTTGTTTTTGAATTTCGTGCAAAGCTACACGAGGGCTATCTGCGCTAGCCGTCCCTAATTTAGCAGTGTAAGACTAGAGAGAAGGCAGCTAGTCATCACCACCCACCGCCAACTATTGGGCTACTCTTTTACCAACGAATAGTGGGATTGACCGTCACATTACAACGCCCCCACGGCTGAAAGGGCGAGCATGTTTGGTGTGACGGGGATTCGAACCCGCGACCCTCAGATTGCGAGTCGAGTGCCTTAACCACGGTTCTGTAGTATCAACTTATAAAGAGTGGCCATAAGTATCACTGTTCTTTGTTAAATTTTGAGCCTTTTTTTTAACCATGCTCGAACTGCAAAATGCTGCATATATACTCTATAAATAGTGTAGAAATTTAAATATTTTAGATCAGAAATACAAAGCTTGCCTACAGCTTTAAAAGTACACTATCTAATTAGTATCAATCGCAACATTCTTTTACAGGGTATTACATCTCTTTATCTTACTACGGCCAAAGTTATATGATAATGTGTAAGAACGATACTACGGATATCAAAACGGCTAAATATGCTATTAAGCCAAGAAAAAAGCTAAGTCTAGTAAGTTGAAGATAATAAAGACTGTGCAACGCTATGTATAATGATATGGAGTTTGATATTACAACAGCGAGTAAGGTAGGCTTGAATTTTCAATAGTTGTATGCCACCATTGTGAATCTAAATTAAATATATTCAACCTTTTACGACAATTTGTTTAACAGAAATAGGTGCACAATGTTCTGGCTTAAATAAAGGTATCCAAATTAGAAATTTAAACCGTTTAGATACAAAAACTCAAATGGCGAAATTTTTTGTATGAGAAGCAATGTTTTAATGAATTAAATTTTTTGCGATTATAACTAAGATTTTTATTGGTGTGTATTTTTATTATCTTAACATGCAAGTGTTTCAGGTTGTCATAACTTCGGAAATCATTATGACAATTTTCTCTTCCAATTATACGCTTGTAATCAAAACGATACAGAGTTACCGAGGAATTTTTCAAGTGTAATAAATAATCGCCTCGAGTGCAGACTACATCTTTCCTCCTAGCGGCTCAGCGGTAAGCTTGAGAGCTTATAAAGATCAAATTCAGGGTTATATTTCTGCGGCTTAGCCCATTCTATAGCTTTGTGCAAAAGAAAAAAAAACCCTGATAAAACTGCGACCGTTCATTATTTCGGATCTTCGCCAGAGGACTGTGCAGAAAATGCTATATCTTATTTATTGATATCAGTAATTTATTAGACGTTAGAGCATTTGAATAATATACTAAAATTATTTGAAAGGGATAAAAAATTTGTTTTACTTAACTGAGTTTCTAAACACGTAAGAATTT